CCAGCCAAGGATGAGAATCCGGCAGCCCAAACCCCGCTCTGGCTGGTTCAGTCCAAGGAGCCGCAAGGTTGGCCAGGAGGGCGAGGAAGAGCTGACGGGGCTGAAGGGGCCAAGCCAGGAGGCTGCAGGCGACGGGATATCCGTGGCTTTTTTTCAGCCTAACCCTGGCCTCTCCTTCAGGCCCCTGGAGGGACCCCACCTCCTTGGGATCCAGACCACATGGGGGGGGGCTATAATTGGGCCGGGGGCTTCAGAAGACAGCTGTCTTGATCTGGGAAACCTCCCCACTCAACGGAGGAGGAGGAGATTTGCCGTAAGAGACCCCTCCCCTCCCTCGTTTCCCCAGGAGAGAAAAGCAGGAGGATCGCCACCTTGAAGGCAGTAGGGCGGCTCCTCCTCCTCCTCCTCCTCCTCCTCCGCCGCTTCCCGAAAGGGCTCCTCCTCCCGGCCCCTTTGGTGCAAAAGGCAGCATGTTCAGGCAGGGGCCCTTGATCTACAAGGTTGCAGCCTGAAGGGGGGAAAGGTATTTCGGGAAGAGGAGCCGTGCAGTTAGGAAGTGTGGGAGACACCTTCCCAGCCGGCCCAACGGTTACTCAGGCTGCCCGCCCCCCCCCCCCGCCCCCCAGGCGGAGTCTGTACTCGCCAGCTGAGCACAGCCATGAGTCACGGCCCAGTTGTGCCAGCAAAGGTGAGCTCTTCCTGGCAACCCCCTCCACCCTCCTCCTGCACATCTGTCCTGCCAGCTGTTCCTCGCCTACCATATCCCTCCACCCTGCAGTCGCCTTCTCTCCCTTTCTACAAAATGCAAAGTATTTTAAGGGCCAAAGGAAGGAAAGGCAAGACTTGGGCACTACTTAGAAGGAAAACCCACTGCTGGGCAAGGACCCCAGATTCTCTGTCATGTCTTTGGAAAAATAAACCTTTTTCTCTGGAGGAAAAAACCAAAACCAGCAGAGTCTGCTCTCTGCAAATTCGGTAGCATTTCTCTGGCCTCCCTCCCTCCCTCCTGCCTTTTACTGAGACCAGCTATTTCAAAATAGTCTGCATTCTCTTCCTTATAAGGAATATCTTCCCCGGGATCTATTTGCGGTTCCTTTGAACAAGTTAAATAAACGCCGGGCTGGAATGCTGACTCCCATCTATCGAGAAGCCACAGCAAGGAGGGCGCATCTGAGGCAGATTAGGCACAGCCGCCTCTCGTCGCGGAGGAGGAGGAGAGGCTTTCTGCGCTTCCAAAGTTGACATGAAGTCCGGTTTCTGTTGGGCAGAACCGCTGTCCACGAGCGGCTAGGCGAGAGCGAGAGCCCCTAAAGCTGCTCTGCCCTGTTTATAGTTTCCCTCCGCTCTGGCCTTCAAGCCTGAAAGCCCCACGTGACCAGCGCACTTTCTAGCTCCTTTCTTTCCCTTAAAGAGAGTGGTAGTCCTCCCTCCGCATGACATCATCTGCTTGGGATGTCTGGCTCCCCCCCCCCCCAACCTTAAGGGGCCGACGGCCCAGATTTGGAATGAATTGCAGGGAAGGCTGTGGGGCTGCAGCCATAGCCCGGTGGAATACTTAGACAGGTGGGTGGGGGAGAGAGAGACGGCTCCCTCTTCCATATAAAGTGCTGAGCTATATATAACCCCCACTCACCGGGATCCGGCCCCAGCCGTGACTGATTGCCAGCCCAGCAAGTGTCCCCTCCTTGGCACGTCAAGAAGCCTCTTGGCATGCCTTGGGCATCCAGCTTCAGCGGCCTATCTTTGCACCTCTGAGGCACCAGCATTTGTCCTCTGGGCACCTTTTCCCACAGGGGAATCTTGGCTCAAGAACTCAGTGGGCCTGCTGGCCCAGACAAGCCCTTTCACCCCTGGGGGTGCTGGGGGGGGGCAGGTCCAAGGATTTGGTCCTGGGAGAAAGGTGTTTCTTGTTTTACACCTGAGGGCTCCGGCCTCATGTCCAAGCAACCTTCCCCCAAACCGCTTCAGGTATGGCTCCCAGTAACACAGCAGGACACACCTCTGCTGCTCCCTTGGCAACAATACCAGCTGGGCATCTGGGCCAGCAGGAGCTGTCCAGGTGTCCAGGATTCTTGGCTGATGGATGATGGCAGATCTCATGGGGGAGGGCTGATCCCCACAGCTGGTGGCGAGTCCAGCAGGCAGAGAGGTTGAGTGACCAGAAGAGGCAGAAAGATGGGGGGGGCACATGCGGGGGGGGGGGAGTTAGAGAGGTACTCACATCTGCAGCTTTCTTCTCGGCCACCTCCAGCTTCTCCTGGGCATCTTTCAGAGACTCCGAATACTTGTCCAGCTCATCCTCGGTGCTCTTCAGCTTCTTTTGCAGGGACACCAGCTCGTCTTCCAACTGCCCGGAGGTTGGGGACCGGGGGAGGGGGGTGATGGGGGGGAGTGGGGGGAAGGGAAGGGGGTGCAGCAGGCAACGCGACGGCGGCGTGAAGAAGAAGAGGAGGAGGAGGAGGAGGTGCAGAAGGACAGAGGGAGGAGGGAAAGAGGAGAGAAGGAGGTTAGCGCATCCGGAGAGGCTACCTTGGTGGCCTTCTCGTCCGCAGTGAGGAGGCTGTCCTCGGCGCTATGCATCTCCTCCAGGACCCGGTCCCGCTCGTCCTCCGAGACCCGCAGTTGCTTTTCCAACTGCACAATGTCCTCCTCCAACTAGCCGCACCAGCCAGAGGCAAAAAGAGGAGGAAGCACTTTTAATCTCCCCCAGTCCGGCCCTCCCTCCCTCCCCTGGCGGCCTTCCCCAGCACAACCGGGTCAGGTACAAACTCAGAGGGTGTTCACACAACCCACCTATCTTGGATGCTTTGGGGACCCAGAGTGTTGTCTGGATGAAGCTGCCTGTTTGCTTGGTTCATGGCTGGGGAAACTGGGCGACCCCAGAGGGGGGAAGCAGGCCTGCTTGAGCCCATTGCAGATGGAAGAGTTGGAAGGGTCCAAGACAGGCGGGCCAGGCCAGCTGAGAAAGGAGGGCTGGGGTGCCTTAAGCTCTGCAGGTTCGATGCCCCAGTCAGTCGCCCTCCTGTCCTTTGGGTGAAGCCCCAGAGCCTCAACCAGCCCAGGCTCCCACCCCCCCCACCCCCCCCGAAAAAAACTCCTCCCGTCATCCAGCTGCAGCCTCAAATGACTGGAGGTGTAGTCCCAACACATCTACAAGGCATCAAGTGGGGAAGACTAAACTTGGCCACCGCCTGGGGCAACTAATGATATGGGACTCCCCAGGGAGGGAAAGGGGGGGCGGGGGGAGTCCTTCCGACGGGCTTCACACCTGAACTTCCAGGAGCGCAAACGCCTCTTGTGAAGGGGGAGTTGGGGGACTCCACTTGGCTGCTTTTTCTCGGAAACAACCAACCCGGCTCCGTTCAACCAACCACTTGGGATCCAGGCCCCCCAATTCACAGCCCCCCCCGCGCCCTTCCAAATCCCCGCCGAGGGAGGTGCCGAGTTCCTCCCCTCCCAATTCCCCAAGCGGGCCGTGGGGGGAGCGCACAAGGCAGCCCGTCCCAGCCGCCACCGCCGGCGGCTTCTCTTGCGGGCCGGGGGTCCCGGGGGCGGCCCCCCCCCGGCTGCTCCTTCCGGCCCACCTGCTTGCTGCGCTCCTCGGCGGCCTTCTTGTCGGCCTCGGCTTGCTCGGCGCGGTCCAGCGCGTTCTCCTTGTCCAGCTTCAGCATCTGCATCTTCTTCTTGATGGCGTCCATGGCGGCGGCGGCGGCGGCGGGGCAGTTGCCAAAAGTCCGTCGAGGAGGAGGAGGAGGAAGAGGCGGCGGCGGCGGCGGCGGAGCTGCGCTGGGACGGTCGACCTGGCCGGAGTGCGAGCGGCTCCGCGGCGGCCGCGGGCGGATAAGTACCCTCGCGGGGCGGGGGGGCGCCGCATTCCGCCGGGCAGCCAATGCTTTTTTGGGAAAGGGCCCCGCGCGCGCCGCCCCCTCCGCCCGCGCCCGCCCCGCGCCCGCCCCGCCTGCCCTCGCCGATGCCTAAAGAAGGGCAGGGCGGCGGCGGCGGCGGCCTCCCTCGCAGGGCGGGCGCTCCCGCGGCTGCCGGCCGGAGCTCGGGGGACGGGGCGGGGGGCGAGCGAGCGCCGCCTTGGGCAGAGGCCGTCTACCCCGAGGGGCGAAGGCGGGGGCCGCATCCCCGTCGCCAGCCGGTTCCTCCTCCGGCGCCCACCCAGGAACGGCAGCTCCGCTTGGGGGGGGGGGGGGGGGGGGGGGGGGGGGCGGGGGCGGGCGCGGGGGGGGGGGGGGGGGGGGGGGGGGGGGGGGCGAGTCTCCCTCCGGGAGAGGCTCAAGTCGGACGAAGCCCCGGTCGGCTCTGCTCGGAGAAAGGGGCAAGCCAGGAGGGGCAGCACCGCCCGCCCTGAATGCCCCCGGCCGCTCCGGATGCCCAGGCAGGGAAGCGCAAGGCGGAGGCGAAGCTTCCCACTTCCACCCACGGAGGCGCTGGGTGCTGGCCGCTTCCCTTCACGAGCGAGCCATGGGCGCCCCACCACAGCCTCCACTTCAGCTGGGGTGGCTGAATGGCTGCCACTACCCGGGCTTTCTAAGCCAGCACTTTGGGGATGCGATCACTTTAAGGTGTGTGGAGTTCAACTCCCAGCGTGCTGGCTGGGAATTCTGGGAGTTGGAGTCCGCAGATCTTAAAGCAGCCAACTTGGAAGAAACACACCTCTAACTAACCTCGTGCCACCTGAGCCAGGTCCTGGCGGGCTGCTCACTCACCGGCCAAACGGCCGGCGGGTTCCCAGGACGACGCCCTGAGCACAAGCAGCCCAGCCCCTCTCAGCCAGTGCAGCTCTCGGCTAAGCGAGCCAGGCTCTATGCCAGCCGCGGGCCAAGGTGGGCGAGTGCGGATTCCGGGCACCAGGAAGCAGCCCAGGATCCCTTTCCTCTCTCTCCTCCCTGCCCAAACCGGCCCCTTTCCCCGCCTGCCTGGCGGTGCCATTTGGACGGCATCCTCTGTGACCCACAGCAGCCTTTCCCCAGTGCCCCTACCTGTTTTCTTCCGCGGAGTCAGAAGGCGCTTTCACAAACTGCTCTCAACCCGGAAAAAATGGTTGTAACTTTAAGATTGATCCTCAGAGGAGTTAATTATCTTTCTGCCTAATGATTTTGCAGGCATCCTATCTGCCTGGAAGGCAAAAAGGCCAAAACATTTACTCATCCTGGGTTGCAACAGGAAGTCTCCTCGGAGAACAATTGTCTGGATCTGCATAAGGAGGCAGAGGGAGGTGTGTTTGTTAGAGGTTACTAAATTATGTGTTATTAAATGTAGGCTTTGTAAGTCCCAAGGCAGTGTGTGTGAATTCCTTGTTTAGGTCCCCACAGCAGTTCGATCCTTGATGGTGCCAAAAACCTGGATTTGGCCTAGAAGAGACAGGGGCCTCCCCGGCGGTCTTAGGCCCCTTACCAGTACAGGACGAGGGGCAAGCTGGACTTCCCATCTGCAGGGAGCACCGGCTCTCAGATTCCCCTGGCGATCCTCTCTGCCATTGCACTAGCTTTCAGCTGTGCAAAATACAAGAGGGATACTCGGGATGGTGGACCACTGGGAGATCCAGAGCCTGCAAACAAGGTTGAGAACCCCAAACAAACATCCCATTAAGGGAGCAACCGGTGACTTCCAGGATGTTGCCAAAGTGAAATGGATGCACCTGAGTCACCGGGGGCCATGCTCAACATGGGGTGTGTGTATGTGTGTTTCCTTTCCAATTGGCAAGGTGGGCAGCACAATCAGGTATGCCTCAGTCTACCTGGAGGGATCACTGTGGAGAAGGGAGGGTGGGAAATAATGGCGACACAGAGCAGCTGGCAGGGAGGGGGGGAGAGGGAGGTCCAGGGGGCAGAAGAAAACAAGCTTTGTCCGGTTTTCCTTTCCTGCTCCCCCCCCCACAATTCCAGCTGTGCCAGAGGCAGCCACGGATGTGTCACTCAAGATGGGAAAACAGAAGCAGATCCCGGGGACGATTCAGTGCACAAGGGCTAATCCTGCTCCTGAGAAACATTCACCCCCAAACCGGTGCAGCAGGAGGGCAGGATCCGTCCTCCCAGGAAACGGATGCCGACCCAGGACCGTCAGCCACCGGGTGGGTCTTCCCGTGGCCTCGATCCACGGCTTCTCTGGAGGCTGCGCCTCGGACCTCCGTGCTCTTTTTAAACCTTCCATGGAAAAGTCCTTAAGCGGGAGACGTGCCCAGCGCCTCCCAAAAGCAGTACAAGGAGCCTCTGGCCCCCGGCCTTCCTTCCACCACGCGATGCTAAGCAGCCCCTTTCAAGCGCCAGTGCTGGGGGGGGGGGGCTTCAGAGCTCTGCCCCCCTCCAAAGCCAACAATTGCTGCAGCCAGCCAGGCCAGGGAGCAGCGCTCCCTCCCTCCGATGCTTCTGGGCGAAAAGGCCCTTTTGGCAGCCTGCAGAAGCCGCATCCGGTTTGGCCTCCCTTCCATCCTGCTCAGGCAAGGAGGTTGTCTGCAGCTGGGGACAAACGGGGACCTGACCGGGTCTGGGGAGGCTGCTCCGAAGGCCACCGGCTCCGGCCCTCCAGCCTTGCTGATGTTGGTCCATGAAGGTCACAAGAAGGCTTGCCGATAGACGTGGCGCCTCTTGCACGGCCTGCTGAGAGGCAGCTGAGGCCGAGGGGCCAGGAGACCAAGGCTGCTCCACCCAGAGACCACGGCAGCTGCTCCCTCTCTCCGTTGGGTGGGGTCCCCTGTGCGAAGGGGACCCCGCACCTCAACTCTTTGTGGCGTGGGAAGTCCCATCTCCACTTGGGAAGATCCTCACCTGCCCAGACCTGGGAGGCAATTGTGCCCAGGTGGCTCTGCCCCTGGCCTGTCCCGTATCCTCCCTGGCGGTGCAGCCAGACATCCTGCTGTTGCTGCTGCCGGGACGGGCAGGTTCCACCAGTTCTGGGCCAAGGTTTTTCCAACTGACTAAGCCTTTTGGGTTGGTCTTGGCCCGTGACTGCTTTTAAAGACCCAGCCATGGCTTGTGGGCTGCTCCCACCTCGAGGCCCGTGACCAGTACCCATGAATGCAGGTGGGAGAGCAGAAAAGCGTGACGAATAATCCCACGAAATCCCCCCAACCCTTTCCTTGCCTGGTGGGCGAAGGTGATGGAGAACAAGCCGGCTTCTCCTGCTTTCTTGGCTGCGTCCCATGCTCGAGAGGATCCCAGCCCTTAAAAGGCCAATAAATCCATCTGCACGGGAGGAGATTCGGCAAGCAGCCGCTCAGCGAGTCCCTGAAATCTCAAAGCTGACCGTAAGGATGACCAAAGAATTGTGCCAGGATTAGCCAGGGCAGGGAGAGGCAGGTCAGCGTCCTAACCCAGGAAAGGCTCTGATCACAAGGAGGGGGTCAGCCGGCCTTCTCCATCTTCTGTCCCCAGAAAGCAGCCAGTCTGGGAGGTCTCCTGGGCCCAGAGGTGACAATCTTGAAACCCGGGTGTCCTCGGACCCTTCAGAGGGGCCTGGCATTTGGTTCAGAGGCTCGGCCAGCAACCTGTGGCCTCCATGGATGGATGGAACGAGGGCCTTTCTTCAGGCCGCCTGTCTGGCCTTCCCCCTCTCCTCCCCCCGGCCCATTTATTTTAATAAAGGCATGGAGGGAACATGAAGGATGGTGCAGAAAAGCCCAGGTATGAAGTGGGGATTCCCTCGGGGTGACCCTAACACCTCTCTGAATACCAAATGCTCCCCGCCTCCCTGAAAGCCCAACCAGCCTCCTGTTCCCGGAGAGGAAAGCTCGGTCCCTCTTTGCACAGGCTGCCCCCTCCCCCTGCCCCCCCCCCAGGGGATGGGGTTAATTGCAGAGAAAAGTGGGCAGACACTTCTGGAGGGGGCAAGTCAGCAGGGGCCTCCCGGGTTCTGCTGGGGGGCTTCTTGGCAGCATCTGGAGGGCCATCCTGGAGACGAGGCTGGGTGAAAAATGTGCACTGCTTGGTCCATCCCCAAGCAATTTGGTCAAGGGGTCTGGCCTCAAGTCTGGGCAAAGCTCTGGGCAAACCTCGTCCAGCCAACCATGTTCCCAAAAGACGCCTCCTTCTTGACTGTTAAGTTTCTTGGGGATATTTATAGCCCAGCTCGGCGCACCTGCCCAAGGCTGTAACTCAAGAGGGCGGCTCAGATGCCAAGGCGAGGAGGGCAGAGCAGCAGCACGCTGAGCCTGGCCCTGAAGTCAGCCGTGGGTGGGCTTGGGAGGTGCCCTTCGCGAGGAGGCCCTTCTCTGTGGCCAGGCAGGGGAGCTGCTGCAGGCGCCTTAGATCGCCTGCCCAGGACTTTACCTGCAGCACAAAAGCTTCCGGTGGAAACGGCGCTGGTCGCGCCACGCAAGGCCCAGAACAGTTTCATTTGGGCTCTCCTGCCTCTGGGGCTCCAGCTCAGGCAAAGGGATTATGTTGCAAGCATCTAAAGTGGGCAAGGAGCTCAAGATGTTCTGTTTGGAAGATCAATGGCTGGCAGCCCAGGGCTCCTTCTTCAGCCTCCTCTCGAGAAGATGGCGGCCTGGCAGAAGCCAGCTGGGCTGGTGCCACCCAGAGACAGGAGCCCAGACCGACTCTCCTGGAAAAGCCACCACACGCACCCCAAAATTCAACTTCGATAAAGTCCACGAGCATCATCTCTATTTGGGTTGTTTGAATTGGACGCAACTTCTCTCAAATTCTATGCCGCATGCAGCAAAACGGCCCATCCCAATAAAGTTAAGGGCTTGGATAATAAATAATTTGGAGATACTGACTGTGATATTCGGTTCTTTGCTGGAAGCAGCCGGCCCAGGGGGTTCCTACCCTGAACGTTTCCCTTCTGCAAAGCAATCAGCACCTCAGGGTCTCCTGGCTGGGGGTCCCAAGGGAGAGAACCAAGGAAGAGGTTTGCGGGGCCTGCTGCCCTGGGCACCCCTGAGCAAGGGCTGCAAGAGCAGGGAGGCCCGGACCCCTTTGCAACTGTCTGACCTTCTTCTGCCTGCACTGCTTGTAACCCACCTTGTTCAAAAACGAAACGCATCACCTGCCATTTTCATTATGCACATCTGGATGAGGATGCTTCATTGCTCGGCTATCTGGCAGGTCCGTTTCTAAACTCCGCCAAGATTTCACAGACGGGAAGCAAGTGGAACCCTCTGCTCTGTTCCCTGACAGACGTTCTTCCTTTCCCTGCTCAGAAGAGACCTGGAGGATCCGGGACCAAGGAGCCGGGTGAAGGGAGCAGCCACCCGAGAGGCCTGGAGGACAGCCGGTGGCCTAAGCTGGCCTAGTTGCATTCAGGTGGTGCCAAACGATGCCCACCATGGCTCCTGGGGGCCAAGCATTCCACAGCCCAGCCCTGCCCCGGAGCTCCCGGCCTTCGTTTCTCCCAGGCTTCCATCCCAGGAACCTCCTCCTAGGGCATAGGGAGAAGGCGAGGAAGATCCCACTCTCTTCCTGCTACACGAATGCAGGAATTTCTTCTCCCCTTCTGAGCTCAGCGGAAGTCCTTTGGGGAACTTTGCCCTGAGAATTGGGAAGTCGACTTCTGCCACTAATAGAATAGGTGTCACCCTTGGGAATGTATTTTTCCCGAAGAGAGTTTTACTTGTGACGGAAAGAATGGGCTGCACATTTCAGGCTTCCAAATCTGACTTTCTGAGTAATGAGTGGCCCGTGGCACTCCTGCCACCACCTCTCCTCATTGAGGTTCCAACAAGGGCCGTCAAAAGAGCCGCCGTGGGGCTGGCCAAGCAGGCAGGGCATCCGGGAAGTTTAACGGTTGTGTGTCCAAATGTTTAACGCCACCATCCCCTCTGCCACCCCTCACTCCGAGAGATCTGCCAAGGAGAGCTGGCAGTGGGAGGATACGGGTGGCAGCTGAATTTCAAAGCCTTACAACGGGCTTCAGAGCTGCCAGATAACAGGCCGTGGCAGCTGGAAGCCAGGGAGCAGGTCCATTTCATCACCCTCTATTTTAGCCTCCATTGACCCTCTAGGACAATGAGCAGAGTAAACAATGGATCTCCCACAATAGCTTTGTGTCTGGCATGACTCAGAGCCTGGTGGTTTCACAAGGGTGACATCAGCTTCAGTTGACTTTCCTTCACGTCAGGCGGCAGGTCACTGAAGGAGCAGGAATCCAGAAGGAAGAGGATGGGTTTCATTTTTTTTCTGGAGGCCCAGACAAAACCAGCTGCCTGCTGGGGCTTGAACTGGGTGAGCGGATCAAGGTGTCATGAAGGATCAAGCTACATTCTTGGGTGTGTCAGTCTGTAAACGCGACGACCGGTTATGATGGAGGGGAGGTCAGGCAGAGTCCAGCCGTTGCTCAAGCCAGGATTCACGTCTGGTCTGGAAGGACATGACGTGTCTCCTTCCCTGGACCCTGGAGAAGCAGCTCTGAGGGGTCCCCCGATAAAGTCGGGCTATTTTCATCTCCATTCTGGTGGAAATCCTCTTAGGAATCTTCTGAGGAACAAGTTCCCTGTGTCCTGAGGGATCCCCTTGAAAGTGGATTTCTCCTTTGATGGTTATCTACTTGGAATTAAATTGGAGGAAGAACAAGTTAAAGAAACAATGATTGCCTGGCGGAAGAATTTTGGATATGGGATAGATCTAGATAAATGGCAAAAATTATGGTCTTGGAATTATAAATGGACAATGTCGGTAGCGTATAAAGAGAACTTGTACAAGGGGTTTTACAGGTGGCACTTACCCCCAGCACGAATAGCAAGGATGATGACGAACAAATCGGAGAGATGTTGGAAGTGTCATCAGATACATGGATCATATTATCATATGTGGTGGACGTGTGTGGAAGCTATGAGATACTGGACTAAGATTCATACATGGCTTGAAAAAATGAAAAAAACAGCATATAGACTTGAAACCAGATATATTTTTATTGGGCATTTTGCCTGAAGAATACAGTAGAGAATTGATGTTTGATTATAAATGTGTTAACAGCAGCTAGAATTGCATTTGCTAGAAATTGGAAAAGTGAAAAAATTCCAGTAGAGGAAAAGGTGATTAAGAAAATGATGGGATGTGCAGAAATGAGTAAATTAAAATTAGCAATTAGAGAGCAAGAAGATAAAGAATATTATAAAATTTGGGATTTATTTTATCAATGGTTTGATAAGAAAATAGAGACGTAAACTATGTTACAAAAAGGAATAGTGTAATATGTAAGATAATACGATGTAATGATATTATATTATTGAACATAATGAAATGAATTGTATGTTCCCAGATTTGTTAAAACTCAGATTTGCTCAATAAGAACTATGTAAATTTATAGTTGAGTCTAATAATGATATAATAATAATACAATATAATATAATATAATACGTATAGTTGACATGTAATATGAAGGTATGTTTGGAAAGGGAAGACTGTTGACATTGTGACATTGCACGAAAGAAATGTACCAACCGACATGCTGTATTTTGGAAGATGGTTTTGTGTTGATGTTTTATGTTTGTGTTTGTTAGTTTTTTTCTTTAGAAAAAAGAAACTTTTACAAAAAAGAAAAGAAAATGGATTTCTCCCAAAATGGGGCTCATAACAGATAACAGATAATCAGAGTTGGAAGCGACCTTACAGGTCATCTAGTCCAACCCCCTGCCCAAGCAGGAGATCTTACACCATTTCTGACAAACGGCAGTCCAATCTCTTCTTGAAAGCTTCCAGCAATGAAGCTCCCACAACTTCTGTTCCATGGGTGGATTGTTCTCATTGCCTGAAAATTTCTCCTTATTTCCAGGTTAAACGGAAGAACCCTTGGAGCAAAATGGAAGAAAATGGAAAGAGCCCCTGAGGGCAACATGGTTGAAGTTTTGGCTGACGCACGGGTATCAGTCCACTGAGCTAACTGGCTTTGATCCAGTCACGCAATGGAGCCCTGAGTGGGAGGAGAGGCTGTAATCAAAATGATCCTTCAATTAATAAAGGTTCCTCATTATTACTATTATTATTATTATTATTATTATTATTATTATTATTATTATTATTA